TCTCTCTCTCTCTCTCTCTCTCTCTCTCTCTCTCTCTCTCTCTCTCTCTCTCTCTCTCCTTCTCTGGCACTAAACTTGCTTTTGGGGTTTTTCTGAACACTGTCACTTTAATGTCATTGGGTTTTACTACAAATGAACCAGTGTCATTCCAAAGTCTAAGATTACTGGCAAATTACTGTTTTCCTCCTAAATTCCTAGATGAGTATCAAAAACAATAACTGGGCTCAAAAAATTATTTTTAAAAACAACCTTCTGGGTTCTTCCATTTCATGTGGAAAACTGGGATACCCCAAGGCAGACCTCAATGGACTGCCGAGAATAATCTCTTTTTATGCATGGGGCCACGTTCTCTCTTCCTCTGGAGGATCGTGTTTGTTCCTGCGAAGTGACACAGTCCTTTAAAGAATAACCTTCTGGTGCCTGCTTAGATTAATCCTGCGATGTCGTTACTCTAGCAAGAGGGACAGAGTCTGGAGGGACAATTAGTAGTATTCATCCTTTTCAAAAAAATCACAATTCACCTCATGTGCAAACGCCGAAGCAACAAAAAGGACATACTTGAACGGAGCTTATAATGGAAAGGTTTAGATGTTTTTCTAAATGAAGGACTGAGAGATTAACAAGGAAGATCCAGGTTTGCTGACTCCTTAATAAGAGCTCTTCTGGACGGCAAAATACCAACGAAATCAAGGGCGTGCGTGGAGGGAACAGTGGGTGAAAACTTGTTGAGTGCATCTCAGAAGTCAGGATCAGAATTTCTGGTGTTCTAGCTCAACGTAACCACTCTATTCACCAGACTAGAAGGTTAGGAACTGCAGGACACCAGAACCAACTCTGATGTGCTATCCATCTGGAGAACACTTTCAATTTTTCTTTTTATTTTCCCGCTTTCCTTAATACAGTTTGCAAAATTGTCCTCTACATTAAGTAACATTTAAAGAGAAAGGTGTTTGGAAGGCAAAATAGGAAAGACTGCGGCTTGCTTAAACCCGTACAGGGAGAGCAAAGATGGGTAAGGGGCGTGCCGACTAGCCCCTTCCTTACCCAATCAGGTGCACAGGAAGATGTCCTTTTACCAATAAAAATAAAGTTCGCTTTCCGGAGGCGGGAGGGTGAGCTTTGAGTGCCAGTTCTCCAAAGCAACGTTAGGGGAGTCGACAGAGAGTGATTAGAGGTTAAGCCAACCAAAGGGAGGGGGCGGGTCGAAGGCGGGGTGGGCCTGAAGGGCGTCTGGGCCGGCCACTGGGAGGCTGGGACTGCTGTTCCTGTTGTAGTGTTTTTGACCAATCCGGAAGGTGAGGGGGTGGGCGGGGCAGGGAAGGGGTGGGAAGAGCTCGCAGCACCGCCGGGCGCCCGTCGGGCTCTGGGAGAGAGAAATCCGGTTAAAATCGGAGTCCGAGGGAGGTTTAACCACAGGTCGGTTCCCATCGGATTATTCTTTAAAGGGGACGCGCCATTGTCAAGAGAACGGAGCCTGGGGGCCGAGGGCGGGGACCAGAGGCGCCCAGGAGCGAGGCAGCTGCACTTGGACTGGGGACGGGTAGGTGTCGCCGGGGGAAAGGCGCTTCATTTTACTTTCTCTTCCAGGCTGGGGGACAGGCGCGGGGATGCTCGCCGGCCGGCGGCCACAGCTCGGGCGGGGGACTGTCGCTGGCCCTTGCCCGGCTGCCCTTCCTAGTACGAGCGAGGGGCGGGCGGGCCGGGATGGTTGGCCAGCTGTGCGCCCCGGCGGAGACTCCTAACGGACCCAGCGCCGCGGTGCAGCCCGAGTCAACCGAAAGCCCGTCGGAGGTGCGGCGGGTCCTGGGGGAGCCCCGCGCGCCCGGCTCTCGCCGCACCTCTTCCCCTTCCAGCCCGGTCTCCCCGCGCGCGCCCGGCCCCGTTCGGTGCGCGCCGCCGGCTCCTCGCGCGCCCGGGTCCCCTCGCGTCCGCCGCCTTCGCGCGCCGTCTTCCTGCGCGCCCGGCTCGGCTCGCACGCCGCCGCCTCGCAGACTCGCGGGAACCGCCCCGCTGGGAGGAAGGCGGCGGCCGAGGTTTCGCCGCGGTGCCGGGAGGGAGGGTTTAGGAGTTAGCCCTGTAGCCGGCTTCCCTGGGAGGGACCGACCGGCGGGGATCCGCGCGGAGGTCGCCGGCCGCGCCAGGCATTGTCCGCCTTTTCCTTTGCTCTAGGCTTTCCGCCCAGTGCCCGCGGTCGTGGGGAGGGGTGCTAGTGCGGCACGGTGCCTAAGGCCGCGCGCGGCCACCCCCGGACCTGGAGCCTTCCGGAGCCCGGGTCTGCCCCACCGCCGCCGCAGCCACCGCCCGCAGGCTGGCCCGGCCTGCTGTGTCTCGGCACCAGCGCTGGCTGCTTTCGCGCTAAGCTCTCTCCCTTGCAACTTTTTTTGGCCGTTTGATGGAAGTTGTTGCTTCCGGGCGGCAGGTTCGGCATAGCCTCGTTTCCTGCATTCAGAAAGACTGATTTGGAGGGCGAAGTGGCCCTTGATCTTTCTAGGTCTTTCCTATCATCCCACTATCGTTCCTTGACATTTCCCTACAATCACATTTTTTTGTGGATTTGCAGTTACATGGGACGTGTGCTAGGACACGTTATTGAAGAAAAAAAAAAAAAAAAAAGGAGTTCGAGGTGTATGTTTAGAGAGGCAAGAGCTCTACGTGGAACTCAGTTTGCCTTTGAACTATGGACAATATTACCTAGATTTTACTGGCTGAGGCACTTATGGAAGGGGGACATAACAAAACAGGTTGCCAGAGCCTATCGGATTAGGGGGAAAAACTTTTGATGGGAATAAAGTTGGCTTGGCAGGTGGCATCTATAAAGTCGATTTCTGCTACTGAAGTTGTAGGCATGACGATGAGTAACTGCAACTTTTACTATTGGTGAAAGAATTATGAGGTCTTTTAATTTTCAGCATTATCACTTGGCTGCACCTGTTGGTACTTGTTTCACAAAGCAGTTAGAAATAGTATATCTCATGTTAGAGGCCTTATTTAGAAGTGTTTTCGTAAGCCTTCATTTTTTTCCTTGTGCATGTGCAAGTTACAACCCTGTAAACAAAGTAGCATTGAGTGTGTTGTTCTGCAGTCTTTCTTTGGCTACTCATTATCAATTGTAGCTTTTCATCCTGCCTAGTGTTTCATTCTAAGTTTAGGAGGGGTGAATTCGTTGGACACCTGTCCTAAGTTTTGTTTTTGATTTTAGTAATCCTAGCTTTTAAATGTGTTTATTAATTACTTCAGCTTTAACCTAGTAGCTTCTGAGTGGTGTGGAGCATTATTAATTGCCAGACTCAGTAGTAAAAACAAAGACACTATGTTTAGGAAACTGAAAACCAATTTGAGATAACAATGCTTGAAAGATGATTCTTTTTTAGAAATTAGGAAATAAAGTCACAACAATCTTTTGTAGTCATCTTGATTGTGTCTAGCATTGTTACACTTTGTAGTCCTTTTTTTCTCTTGTAATCTTATTGATAAGCATATCAGAGAGCTTCTAGGTGTAATAGTTCCTTTCCATTGCATTATAGAAAGTAGAATATTAAAGCAAGTTTCAAAATTTCTATCTTGTGTATGTACTAGCTTTTTTCAACAATACAGGAGAGAATTTTTTTTTTTTAAAGAAATGTATAGAAAGACAATGTTCAGAA